TTTTCATCATTAAATTCTACCTAAACATATTCTTAGTGAGTCATGATATACAAACATAAATTTTATATAGAATTTTCAAACACAATAATATCGTTTAATGATGATTTTTACTTTAAAACAAAACACCCGTAAACATGATTTATATTTACAACAATATCACTATCACAATATTTTTATGATATTTTTTATATAAATTTGTATATGAATGTAATTTTTGATTTTTATTTACACTATATATCTAAATTAGATCAATTTAATCCAAATATATTTAAAAAGTATAAAATTTGTACAAAAAACTTTAAAAATCCATTGAATACAATAAAATTAGATAATGCATTGAATTTATATACATAATATATATATATATATATATATATTTGTATTTGGTGAATTTAAAAAAAATCATAAAATATTATATTTCTTAAGTATATCTAGATTAGGTGTATTTAAACAAAATTAAAAAAAAACTTAAGATATTAAAAAAAATAAAAAAACTCAATTTTTTTGTGTGAGTTAAATCAAAGAAAATAATTGTTATTTCTCTTGAAATAACATAAACAAAATATCTACATTATTTTATTATTTTATATGATAAAAGCTAATAGATAATAATGTCATTTTAATCTGACATCAGAGCGAGTGTAATTTTTCAAATGTGAGGAGAATCTGTATTAAAAAGAAACCTTACGGGGTGTAGTAATTTATCTAAAAAATTTTAAAGAACAAAATGAAATATGTTTTTTGAATTTTTTTGAATAGAATTTTGAAAATTTTGGTTATAAGTTTTGAAAAAGTTTTCCATTGAGTATTTAATTTTTAATTTTAAAAAGAATTTAATTTAATTTTTTTTTGTTAGAATCATGATTTTAAAATTAACCAAATGCTATCTTTGTTTTTGTTTTTTTATCATAGAAAGAATATCACCAATAATCCCATAGACTAGATTTGCGAGTTTGAACTTGAAAATAATACTATAATTAATTTTGAATCTAGACGGCGGGTGTTCCTTGTTTTGAAAGCCACGAAGAAGTCCGTGTTGTATACATTTTGGCTTAATCTGGGAAGAAGGGTTGTATTGAATTTGAGAATATTTTAGTCATAAAAAATAAAATATATTTTTTAGTTTAATAAGATAAAACTTATATTTAACTCATAATTATTACATTCTTTTTTTCACAAAAAGTTAAAAATGTCAAAAAAACTCTCCCCAAATAAGACTTTTTAGCCTCAGGTTGCTATTTTAACACATTATCCTATTTGGTCATAATCATCTTATTTAAATCATATCACCTTTCTATTCATATCATTTCAAACCTAACTTATATTTCATATTTTTTTTTATTTTTTAAAATATCATAAATTAAAAAACAAAAAAACCAACACGCTTTTCAAACCAACCCTTTCGTTGCGCTTCCATCTATTTTTCTGCTTTTTCTCTCCTCTTTTATTTCACTTTTCCTGTGTAGTCTTCTCCTCTCCTCTTCTCTTCTCTTCCCTCCATCCTCTCTCCTCCTTTATTTCACTTTTTTTTATTTATTTTTTATTTTTTTGGATCCCCAAACCCAAAGATTTAAAATTAACCAAATGCTATCTTTGTTTTTGTTTTTTTATCATAGAAGAATATCACCAATAATCCCAAAGACTAGATTTGCGAGTTTGAACTTGAAAATAATACTATAATTAATTTTGTATCTAGACTTCGGGTGTCCCTTGTTTTGAAAGCCAACTAAGCAATTAACGAAGAAGTCAGTGTTGTATACATTTGGCTTCATCTGGGAGAAGGGGTGGGATTGAATTTGAGATTATTTTAGTTACAAAAAAAATAAAATATATCTTTTAGTTTAATAAGATAAAATAATATATTAACTCAATAATCATTACATTCTTTCTTTCACAAAAGTTAAAAATGTCAAAAACTCTCCCAAATAAGACTTTTTAGCCTTAGACTGCTATTTTAACAAATTATCTTATTTAAGTCACAATTATCTTATTTAAATCACATCACCTATCTATCATATCATTTCAAACCTAATTTATATTTCACATTTTTTTTATAAAAATAAAATAATATACTAATCTAACACTACTCAAATAATCTTTAACATAACCATCAAATTAAGAATAATGGTATTGGTGTGCAACCCCTTAAGGTTGCACACCATATGCAAGGTGTAAATGTGTAAATGTAAAAAATTTCAATACATAAAAAGTGTAAATGCCAAGATCATAATGCCACATACCATTTACAAGACACACTTAAAAAAAAGTCCTAAATTAAAAACAAAAAACCAACACGCTTCTCAAAACCAACCCTTTGTTGCGCGACCATCTCTTACCTTTTTCTCGCCTCTTTTATTTCACTTTTTTCCCTGTGTAGTCTTCTCCTCTCCTCTTCTCTTTCGCTTCCCATCCTCTCTCTCTCCTCCTTTATTTCACTTTTTTAACCCCCCCCCCATGTGGAATTTTTATCTTCTTATATGAACTATATAGTATATATATTAATATAATGAGTAAAGAGAGTGGATTTTTTTTTTTTTGACTTTTCATAATCTTTCACAATAACATGTCAATGAGTAGAAAATAAAAAAAAAAATAGGTCAAATCTCAATACATTAGGGATAGTAGGGATTAGTCTCAACTTTTTTCCAATATATATATATTAAAATTTATTTAAGGATACATTAAAGTTTATAATAAAAAATAATAATAAAAAAAAACTACAAATCCACACTTATCAGTACAGAATTTATCAAATCAATGGTTCAAATTTAACTTATAGGCCCTATACTTTATCAATTTAATATCCATTATACAAACCTATTTAGGATAAATTAAGTATTTTTCTAAGAACAAGTCCAAAATAATCTAAATTGAAGTATTTAATAAAAAGTAAACAAACGATAATAAAAATCACTTAAACATCAGTTTTTTTGACATTTTTAGATGTAAAATAATTAATTTAGTTCGCATAATCCAATTTATAAATTAAATCATTTTTGATAGATAAAATTGCTAATCCATTTAATCTTTCATTTGACATAGTTGAGTAAATATAAGAATTAATCAACTTTAATTTGAAAAGAGTAACCGCAAATAGTATAATTAATTATATTCTATATATAATCCATATATTTAGAAAATAATCATTCGATAATTTCAAACAATTCACCACATTAATGAGTTTTTTGATTTCTTCTGATAAAAGATAACTATCTATTATTTTTAAATAATTTTTCATATCAACCATCTATTAGTTTTAAATCATCACTCGGAGCCTTTTTAAATTCTAATAATTTTTTTTATAGATCAATATAATAATTAATAAAAATTTAAGACCTTTTTTTTAGTCAATGTTTTGGGGTCCAAACCAGCGGCTTCTCCCACTTGTGCCCAAAGTTGGCTTTGCTCTTATGTTGCTTCTCTTCCTTTATTGACGGACTAGTTGTAGCTTCAAACCTACTTCATGTCTCTCTCTAGACGTGATGAAATCTCCTGCGAATTTATGCACCAATGCGAACGATCCAGCATTCAACCATGGCTTGGAACCAACAGTTAGGGATGGCCATAAACTTCACTTCACTTCACTTCCTTGGATCTCATGAATACTACTTCCTTTGGCCTAATGTCCATTATACAAGATCATTTGAGTCATGAAATATACATCACTATAACAAAACTGACTTTTTACGGCACCACATCAACGACATACAATAAATGCACGTCGTACTTTCTCACTTTTATTACGACTTGTTTTGTTTGCACGTCGTAAATACTTTTCCAACCACGGCGTGTTTATTGCATAAGCCGTGAATAATAATAAAGGTGATTTTTTTACGACTTACAATGCACGTCGTAAATAATAAAACTTTCAACGATGTACATATGGCGTGTCGTTAATATATCAATTACACATGACGCGCATAAGTGAATACTTTGCACAGCGCACACAATGCCCGCCGTTAAAAGTGCTGCTTTTTTACGACACATGAAACGTCTGCTGTTAAAAGTATTACAATTTTTACAACGGATAATGTATGTCGTAAATTGTATGATAAAAAACAAAGAGGTGCCAAAATAAAATTTTTGGCGCCAATTCACCACAAAAAAAAAAATTGGCAAATAAACATCAATTGTTTGGGCTTCTAATGGATTCTAATCATCAGACACTGGTTCGAATGGGATCCATCGCCGGTACGACAACTAGCTCCACAACGGCATTCATCGCCATTTCCCTCATCATATCTTTGCGGCTTTGATTTTAACAACTCCATTTAACAGCGTCGGGCACAGGCAGGAAGATAAGGGAAGGTACACACTCATACTCATCTCTTCTCTTCTCTCTCTCTCTCAGAGATTTGCGAACAAGATTGAGTCAGGTCGAATCGAGTTGCAGAGTTATTCTGACGAGTAGTGGCTCAAGTGGGAGACCGAGTCAAAGAGGAGTCAGACCTCGTTTGAGTCAGCAGCAAAGACAAAACACGGTGAGGTCGAGAGGAAGAAAGGAACTCCGTGGACAAAAGAAGAACACAGGTACATTTTCTGGGTTTTTTAGAATCTTTTCTTGGCTACCAAACAGAGTGTTTTCTTGGGGACCAAACAGATCAACTAGTTATGTACATAAGTTTCTTGATTGAATTGTTTTTTTTTTTTTGTTTTTTTTGTTTCCCTCTTTTGATTTTGTGTTTTATTAAGAACTACCCTAAATTGGATGATGACGAATATGTTGTTTGGCTTTGGGCCACCTCTGTGATGTACACCTCTATGATGTATCCTAAACTTCTATACATAGTTGTTTCCCTCAATTGTAAGTCTCCTTTGCAACTTTTCAAATGTTCCCCTAGCATTTGTTCACGTTTGTAGAACAAATGAGGTGTAAGTTAGTGATGGATGCAGTGGTCAGACTCTGTCATTTCTTGATTATAGGAAATGGCTGCTACGGATTATTTAGAAAACTGGATTCAGTCTAGGGTTTGTTAGTTCTCTGGTGTGCTAAACTGAAAATTGTGATTGATTTCAAATTCTGATTTTGAACTATAGACTTGCTATTCCAATATGTTGTGATAAAATGTGAGACATGTGCTAATATGTTCTCTATATACTAAAAGTTGAGATTTAAAAACCCATTTTAAATCATTTTGCTTCCACATTCCAAACTTTTCAAACAGGAAGACGAAATGAAAAAAGAAAGAACAGCAGGAACAGGACAGAGACAAAGAGGCAGTGTAAAATCAGCCAAAACTCATTACCCCATATGAACAAACTATCCTGAAGAACGTGTGTACACCTATCAGGCTCTAACACAATTGTTGATGTAGAACACAATAAGTAAAGGTACAAATTGGAGATTTTCACATGGGCATGCTTCAAACTTTACTATGTAATGGTTAATTTTGAGTATTTATGTTTAGTTTCAAGTCATTACATTCTGGTCGCTTTTAAATTGGCATGTGATATAGTAAGTACACAGGCCATGTTCTTGGTCAACCAAATCATTTAATGCTCACATGTGGTATATAATGTGGGTCGAGGATTGTGTTACGGGTCAAGTTTTCCACTTTTGGGATCCTAATCTTAGTAGAAGTAGGAGTTTAGCAACCTAAACATAGCAACACTTATTCTTCAACTCAGTAGAGTGGATTTTGATAATTAAAGATTGTGCTATTTTGTGATACAACCCAACCTTAGAGAGTATTCCCATAAGATCCTTTTCTTTCGTCTTCCTTTTCTTCTGTCTTTAATTCTCTGCTATTAGATTCTGTTATTTCAATCACAAACCTGCCTTAGTTTCTTTCTTTTGTTTCATTCCAAAGCCTATATTCCATGAGCTAATCCTTTCCTTACTAAATTTGGACTTTAAATCGACTCCAAAACCCAGAAGTTCTTTTTTCCTAAAATTTCCACACAGCATTCTAAAATTCCTGCAATCTCTCACTTTCAAATAAAGCCAAACTCCAGTCACTTCTCCCCTAAATTTAGGTTTAGATATAACACGTCTTGAGACTTAAGCCTAAAGTGTGATGATTTGAACTAGAGAGAAAAAGTTTTTTTATTTTATTTTTTTAAATCTGGCAAAAGAAAGAATGACAATCAAAAGATATGTCTGAATTGGCTATCAAAGCTGTAACAATTACTTGATTGAAAACAATGGTTTTATGAATTAAGGGAATGGCATTTTTCTTTATTGAAAGGAAAAATGTCTTGGAACTAAATAGAGATGAAATTATTATTAATAATATGTTCATGGTTTTCTTTTACCAAAAAGAAGATTCAATGTGATATTGGCATATCATATAGCCTAATCTTCCATAACAATATTTTATGCCATTATTGAAGGTGAAATTAGCAAGGGAGTTTTTATATGATGGACTGAATATTTTGATGTGTTCTTATCAGGACCTTCAAAACGGACTTGATCTCGGTGTGGTATCCCCGGAAGTCCTGCAGAATTATTTTTATCTGGAGCAATATCCTTTTATTTCAGAACTAACTCATTGATTCCAGGTATGCTTGGTTTTGGCAATTTCTTTTGTGTGTGATTTAAAGGCAGTTGACCTTAAACCTATTCCATCATTTATTTTAGTCAGTTTACAATATGTGCACGTGGAACCTTCACTATTCACTTATCTACTTGGTGATTAAGCAATTAATAAACATAGATAAAGTACAATCGACTAGGGACTCAAAGTTGAGCATCAAACGCCTTGATGTTGTAGGGATTCAGGGAGAGATTATTGGCAGATCCCAAATTTTTACATAGACTAGCTATAGAAGAAGCTATATCAATTACAACTACTCTCTTAGCACAGTATGAAAGGCGTAAAGAAAATTTCTTTGAAGAGCTTGACTATGTTATTACGGATACTGTCAGGGGATCAGTTGTTGATTTTTCCACTGTATGGCTTCCTGCTCCAACCTTGTCTTTCCTTTCAATTGGAGATACAATAGATACACCGGACAGCATGGAAGCATTAAAGGGCTTACTTGGTTCCATACTTGATAATGCATTTCAAAAGAATATTGCTGGGAACGACTGGAATGTGAATCATAGAGTTGCATCAGTACTTTTCGGCGGTTTGAAGCTTGCCGGTGTTGGATTTATTTCCAGTATTGGCACTGTAGTTGCCTCAAATATTTTGTATGCAATACGCAAATTACTGAATCCAGCACTAGACACCAAACAACGGATTAAAAGATCACCAATACTTAAAACAGTAGTTTTGTATGAGGGCTTTTTGGGAACTCCATCAAATCTCCAGTATCAGGTAGAGCAAGTAGCATTAGCTATAATTATTTTCTTTTCCCATTTTTTTTTAATTCTATTTTTCCCTGAAGCCATTTATGATTTCTATATTCTATTTCTTGTTTTCTCAATAAAAGGTGCCAAAGGTAGATTTAATTAGTATTGACTATTGACAGCATGGTTTATGGCATCCAAAACATTGTGGGCTTCCATTCTCTTGGACATGAATGCATCCACTGAAAATGGTCGTACTTAAAGAATATGTTCTTAGAAATAACCTAAGGGGATGATCCTAATCAATAAGTAGTCAGTGAAGAAAAAAGTTTAATAGGTTGACTAGCTAGTATGCATATGATTAATATTTTGTGCTTGGATTATCAGTAGGCATAGACTTATAAATAATGGATCCTTGAATATTTCGTTCCATCTTACCTACGTAAATTTAGAACCTTAAGTGCTTTTGAGCTGCTTCAACCTTTCCATTTCATATTTTGTTGTTTGCAGGTTGTTGCCCTTAATTTTGGAGATTTCTATGACATGCAGTATGTTAAAATGTATAATATCTTCATGGTGCAACTTCATATACTTAAATTGTTTATTAAAGTCTAGTTTAGAATGTTGGATTTAATTTTGTGGAATTTTTTTGGACTTTTTAATTCTTCTTTATTTGTTGTTTCATTTATGCTTTGGTGTTCTGTAGGCCATTCTTCCTCCCAATACAAACATCCTTGGTGCTTATGGTTGAGGATACTCTGAACCTTTGAGTCTAACAAACAACTAAATTGGGGTGAATATTTGGGTGGGGTCTAAAAGTGGGTTTGGTTAATCTTTATTGTTTTTTAGTCTTTGCATGGTTGAAGTTTGGATTGTGGTAAAATCATATTTTTTCTTTCTTTTTTATTTTTTTATTTTTTTTTATGATCATGATCCATATTAGCTTTTGAGCAAGAAGTGTGGAGTTTTGATGTGACAAGGGATGTCACCTGATGTTAGAAATTTGTGCAACTAGGACCTCGATCGACTTGTTTTATATGCTTGTGAACATACTAGTGTTACAACTTTAACTTGTTGGCACCATGTTAGAGTGGTGAAGGCTAGGTTTTGCTTTTTTTCTTTTTTAAATGAGCTACACAATTGGCCCAAGTCTGTTTGATCTGTTTTGTTATGTTAATGGGGGGTCCTATGCTATGAATTTCTGTTATACTGATGACTGGCCTTTTATGAATTTCTTGTCTAATTTTCTGTTTCAATCTATCTGTATCGAATGTTTGATTTACTATTTTCAATTTATTTGTGCATGTTGAATTGACAGATGCCATTTCCTGGTATTGTCGATGGTCTTGGTTCATAACTGTTGCAATGACGGCAGCTCTTTGGTGGTCCAATGTCAAAGCTAAGATTGTTAATGATCTGCCGTATGGCTAAGCCTGAAGAGGTTCTGATTATTGAGGATGAAAATGGGAATATTGTCCATGAAACTATGAAGGACAATGATGTCCTCGCTCAATATAAGGTGTTAAATCTATACTTGGCAGGTATGGAATCCAATCTCTCTATGGAAGCCTTATGAAATGGATAGTTAACCTGTCTTTTTCTTTTTTCCTTTTTTAATATTTAATATATGTGGTTAGCTTCTTTTATATTGTTAGACTCTCACTTCAGAGAATGTATGTTCAAAGCAGTGATGTGATACTATATAGTGTAATTTGGGGTTGAGTAAATTGAAATCAGTGTTTAAAGCTTTATGGGTAGAAGAAAGATGTAGTATTGCATGTGTAACAAAAAAATTAACAAAGATGATCCTATACACTTTCTTTTGCATATTTTTATTTTAAAAATACCTGAATTTCACAATTGTTCAATACATCTTAACTTTTTTGGCAATGGGAATTCCTAATTGTTGCAGAGGAAATGTTAATGTGATTACCTGTTCATTTGTTTAGCAAGTAAAAACAATTTTCTAGGACTTTTATGAAGCGTTGAAGCAGTTTTTGGCAAGTATTATCAACTCTTTTTCAATATTCTGACCCTTTAAAACAGGGTTGTTGGCCTCTCTTGCAATTGTCAAGAATCACCCAAGTTTTTCATTTTGGTTGCTAATTATGAATAAACATCTTGAATTCTACAATGCGTAACAGATCAAGAAAAGCTATCTTTTTTATTTTACGGGTTTTTAAAATTTATTATTGGGAATCATCCTCTCCACAAAAAGTGGGGAAGACTAGCGAGAGCCTCGTGCACTAGGATCCTTTGGATTTTATTATTTATGTTTGGTTTCTTTGTCTCTGTTTCTCCTTTAGTTGCTATTTCTAATTTAAACTACAATGTCGCAGATCATGAGGGAAACACTTATCTATTTGTCACACCTTGACCACAAAGATACCAAAAAGGAAGTATTGGTTTACAATTGCCCTTGTTGTTCACCTTTTTTACTGTGCTGCAATATCTCCTAGATAGATAGATATATAATGGTTGTGCCCGTATGAATATGTATTCTCATGCCAATAGCATGAAAAGCTGACACTATATTGTTTGATTATGTGTTGGTTTTCTGCCTTTATGTGGATATGCCTGGATATAAAAATAATATGATCAAACAAAACTCAAAATACTTTGGAGTTCAGATTATTGTTGGTTATTCACTCAGCAATTCGTGGCTATGCTTTTTCAAGTAGGAAGTTGTGCGTTACTGTGCTTTTAATAGTGATTTATCGGACTATGCCATCTAGTTACATGTAAATGTTTCTTTCCTTCCTGGGATGATAATAGATGCTGAAGAAATTGAATAAACAACTGAGTGGCGAGCATTGGACATGGAACAACTTAAACACATTATGTTGGGCAATAGGATCTATATCTAGGTCCATGATGGAGGAGCAGGTACGCTTCATTTAATGTTTGAGCATGTTTCTCCTAAATAACATATTTTTTTAGCATTACAACATATATATGCTATCTTGGTTAATGTGGCAGTTTATGTTATGATTTTAATGAGTATGTAACTTTCTGGGTTTACTTTGTTTACTGAAGTGGAGGCATTATTGATAGCTAATATGCATGCCACTATTTGTTTTAATAATATGGATTGCTAACTGAGGCAATGGCTATTATATGCTCATTTAAGTATTCCATCTTTCTTGTCCTTTACAACGAGGCTGTTTGGTCTATATAATTTGCAAGCTTAGTTCTTGATTATAGACAGATTAATGAATATTTGAAAATATAAAAAATGTTTTGTCATTGCCACACCAAACATTTCCTTTGTTAATTTTGTTTTTAGGATGTATGTGTCTTCTCATTTTTATTTGTTGGATTTTTCTAGGAAAACAGATTTTTGGTGATGGTGATTCATGATTCGTGATCTATTAAATTTGCGTGAAATCACAAAAGGAAAAGACAACAAAGCATTATTGCAAGTAACATTGTGTAAACAAATTTTTGTGTTAAAGTTGCATCTCCAATTACAAACTTATATATGTACAGTTTTGGATGATATATAACTTTTTGGATAATTTAGAACTTAAGGATAGTCCTTTTGGATGTCTTTGAACTTGCGGTTAGGTTTTGGATGTTTGAAATGTATATATTGACAATTTTTGAATGTTATAATTTATAAATATAGTTTATTTTTATGGTTGAAATAATAGTTTGGTGATTGATTGATATTTTGTGAAGCTTGTTTGTAATATTAGATTGTACAAAACAAGTCAAATAGAACCTGTTGAATTTAAATAAAAAAAAAATGCATTTCTATCTTCGTTTGGAAAGTGAGTTAGCTTTTTGATTTTTTGACTTTTTTGGTTATTTTAACCTAGGACTAAAAAGCTTGGTTTGGGAAAGGTTTTTAGTTTTTTTAGCTTTTTTGGCTTTTTTTGTGAGGGAATGAATGTAATGATTATGAGTTGGATGTGATATTTTATCTTATTAGTCTAAAAAACTTATTTTATTTTTGCTGACTAGAATAGCAAAAAAAAACCTCAAGATTGACTTCCCAAACGGAGCTATCATTTATCATTTTTCTTTATATATATAACTCATTAACATTTACTATTGGATTATGTAAAAACCACTCTCCCTTGTATCTTTTTTAATCATTAGTAAATTATTTTTTTACACATCATTAAATGTAAAAAATAATCATTTATATAATTTTTCTTTATATATACAAATATATATCATTAATATTTACATTTACCCCTATAAAGAGTTCATTATTTGAGTTTATTGCAACTTTAATATTGTAATTCCAAACGTAAGATATCACGAAATAATATGTATATCGATGAGTTCAATATTAAATTCACAAGGACCAATTATTTTAAAGGAATGACCGACCACTCAAATAAAATAAAGAAGATTTGATTTTGAATTTGTGACATTGATGAATAATCTGAGAAAAATTAACTGGCTGAAAGATAAACTAAAGTGACAACAATAATAATAATAAAATTTGTGTTAAGGCATTAAGAATTTTCCACCATTACTTTTTTTAAAATATTTCAAATTCAGTTTGTATAACTTAATTGAGGCATACACAAATGATATTTTTAATCGGAAGACAAAAATAATTATTTTATATAAAAATTAATTCAAAAAGATTGATTATTTTGATTGGTTTATAACATCCGAAAAATCTAGTTATTTGATTTGCATGGAATATCAAGTTTTTATCGTACTCAGAGTCTTATGATACAACAAGAGATTATGTACAAAAAAAATTCTTAAATAAATAAATCAATCAATCAAAATAATCTAAAATTAAAAACCATGATTGAATCATAAAATATTTATAAAGAAATCATTGAAATTTCATCCCTAACCTTAGTAAATAAAATAATATGACCTTGTTTGATTAACATGATTAATAATAAAATGATTAATAATCTCATGAATTAATGTATGATTAGTTATCTAATTAAATAAGTAAGATAACAATTTATTATGTATTTATTTTTTTCTTTCATACTTGAAACTGTTGTGTAAATTGTGTATTTAAATAAAGTAAATAGATTCATATTTAATTAAATTGATATTACAAATAAGAAATTATGGGACTAAATCATACAATTCCTCGGCTCGGGAACTTGGGTACGATTGGGGAAAGTCACTTCGTGAGCACCCCCGCTCACCTGATCAAAGATCGGCCTCTACTAACCATGATATCGAGTTTTGACAACACTATGCATTCTTATTCCGGTTATTAGCCTAGATTTACTATGTGATGCGCGCAACATATAAGTATAGACTGGATCGCCTGAATTGGAACAAAACATCTCATGTTTTGTTTTGAAAATAGTTTGCTACTCGCAAGTAGGCTAAAATGTGGATTTGCCACTCTCAGGTGGGCTTAGAAAAAATGATGATTTGCCACTCTCAAGTGGGCTTAAAACTCACAATTGATGAATTGTTCCAATCCAAATAACCTAACCTTCACCCACAGGCGTTCAGGCAGGTTATATCACATAAGCAATTATCCTCATGGTAAGCATGCTATCATGGCAGTCACTCACACACATGCGGGGATGCTAAAGCATAAACACTTACCGAGTACTCCAAGCCAAAACAGAAACTAGTTAGAAATCAATGCATGATCCTAACTATACAGAAATGCCTAATGCAACATATGCAAAAATGCAACTACAATAGGCTCGGTTATTCTAAGATGGCATATGATGATGCTACAGCTAACACGTATTCAATTTGGAATTGAAATACAAATGCAGTTAGTATGATGCGCCGAGCCCTGGTGCATGCAAGACAGATGAATGATGCAAACATGCAAGCATAAATATGCTAATTGAAACATGCCCTAAACTAACCATCATAAGCTAGTAAATAAAAGGGAGAAAGACGTGGGGTTGAAAGACATACATCACACACACGCACATTTATTACAATTGTGCCTTCGCTCGAAGGGTCCGAAAGAATAATACAGTCCGAATAAATAATTAAATATTACAAAACCCTAATTAATTAACAAATTAACTAGGAAAGCGGATAAACTAGCATGCAAGCTTATGGACCGCCTTGGCTCTGTTCCGAATGATGAAAAATAAATACAGAATCCTAATTAATTAACAAATTAATCTAGGAAAGCAGTAAATTGGCATGCAAATCCATGGACCGCCTCAGCTCTGTTCCAAACGATGAATGATGCATGCTCGGGTTGCCTTGTGTGGAGAATCCCTTGCGATGTCCCAGTTTGCCTCTGTTTGCAATTATTCTTGGGATGCGTGCCAGGCTCCGGAAGGTTACTGATTTCTGATTTGCTGCAACAGAGAGCAACAAAGGGGCATGGCAAAGTATTTTCACATATGTATGCATGACTACTCTTCAGGGAGTGTAGTCCTCGATCCTCGTGCTACCAATCACGCATCTCGATGCATGATGGCCGAGGAGTCGATTTGCATGACCCAATATGAAATGAATGCACATATGGACACAACAAGGCCTAAACTCCATCATGGGTAATCCGGAGTGTCGGCGACCAGGAATTGAGGCACGTTCTGTCACTCGGAGTACGAAACGTCCCTCGTTTCCCGTGCTTAGTCTAACTTCTATCCCAAGCACAATGCAATATGCATGACATGCATGAATGCAATCCTAACATGCAACCTAGCGTATGCAATGCTATGAAATGGCACACACAATGCCCGATGTAACGAGGCATACACAATGCTCTAACATACAACCTTGCATACGCAATGCTATGCACACTCACATCAGTGGCCATGAGATAAAAATGAGACAACCGAAATGCGTGCACACATGCACAAATACCAAGGACCAAACCTAAGGTATCAGATGCTACTCTACCAAAGCATGGCAAGGGATGAAAGATGGCATGGAATAGCATAAATTACAGCTCTGAAACAACATGAAATATGGTTCCGAAACATGCAAATATGGCACACAATGCAAGCTAGGGGGCCCGGGTACCGAAACTAGTGAAGTGCGTTACTCTAGAGGTACCCAAAGCAATGCATCAATGGCAAAACCAACCCCAAAAAGACCCTAGGCAGGTCTGAAACAGTGGGGAAATGGCCTAAAATGATGGCTCGGAATGCAACGGAATGGAGCTCATTCAATGGTCGGTAAATGAGACATACAAGCCCGACTCTCAAACGCATTTAAAGAGATGAAAACATGGCAACATGGCATTAACATAGGCTCTGGAATTTGATGAAAAACGACCCCAAGGCATGAAAATACCTCAGTATATGCATGGAATGGATCTCAGAACTCAAAGTTAAGCATGGGTATTGAACTACAATCATGCAAAACGAACATCATTCAAACATGAGACCCAAAAACAGAGCTAGGGCAGTCCAAAATAAGCACATTATCAGTTTAAGACATGGCCAATATGTGCTAAAATCAAAGTCCAACAAAGCATGCAAAGAAAGCTAGTGAACCATGAGTTGTTCTACAACTATATGAAGCATATGAGGGCTCACCCAACCAGCCAAAATCACCCAACCAGCCAAAAACAGAAGTATTTCATGCCAAAATATGCCCAAATAACCACTGAAACTCAGTCAACACATGCAAGAATGGTGAGACCCTTTGGAAAGCCATGCAAGGGGTTGTTCTACACATACATGATAGACAAACAAAAGGAAAAAACCACCTCTGGAAATGAGTTATGACAGCCCTGAAACTCACCAAAAAGAGCCTGAAATTGGTCTAGGAAGCATGCAATGAAAGGTCCCTTTGAATGGCCTTGAATGGGATTGTTCTATACATGCATCATAGACATAAAATATGGCCAAAGGGTCTTTGGATAGAGCTAAGGAAGACCTCAAAACTCACAAAATAGGGCCTGAAATAAGACTTCAAAGCATGCAAGATTGAGCCCCTTTGGAAGGCCAACAATGCTAGTAAAGAGAACAAGGGGTGAGAGGGTCACCCTTCTCTGATTTTGAAGCTCAAAAACAAGGGCTAAAAGGCCAAACCAAGGCCAATGCAAATGCTCAAATACAAGGCTCAAAACATGAGGAAATGAAGCATGGAAGGGGGAAGATGACCCCAAACAGAAAAGAGTCCTTAAACAAACATGTTTAGAAGATAAAAAAAAGACTTTTTCTAGTTTATGGAAAATATCTAAAATGCTTTTAAGTAAGGCTAAGACATCATGCAAAATAAGCCCTAAAAGAGAGATAAAGCATACAAGGATGTAGGAGACCTCAAACAGAAAAGTATCCTTAATCAAACTTCAAGAGGAGCTCAAAATAAGACACTTTACAGTTTATGAAAAAGTCCAAAAATGCTTGCAAATAAGGCTAATCAATGTAGCAAAATAATGTAAGAAAAAAGGGAAATGGAGACTTACCCTTGAAGAGCAGGTTTCCAGCAACTTCTGGACCAAGATGGGAGCTCCTTAACCTCTAAAAATCAGCTCCAAGATGCTTTGATGGAGGATGGAGGTGTTGTACCAAGGGTTGGTGTGCAAATGGTGCAAGAAAATTAGGGTTTGGAGCTTGGAATAGTGAGCTATGGAGAGAGAAGTGTATAAGCCTCTAACAAACTTGTTGAACCCTTGCAAATGAAGACAAGCCTCTCCTTTATAGAGGAGAGGTTCCAAAGCTTCTCTAAGAAGCCTCAAATATCCTCCA